CAGCAGAAGCACCGTCGGCGGCGGCGCGGGTAGAAGAAATGAGACGTCGCCCAGTAAAGAAGAAGATGATTGTGTGCAGTCGATGAAGCTAACCCTGAACAAAAAAAAATTGATTAACTTCATCGATTGAGATTATCAACTGAAATCGGGAAGCGATGATATTTGGAGGATAAAGATTGGTTGTGGTCGCGGTGATAGTGTAACACAACACGTGTCCAACACATTAAAACACGTGTGCTGGTTATGCTATCAATAGTCAACAATAGAGAAAGATAAAAAATAAAAACAGATTAAAAAAATCCACCAAAAAGTTACAGCAAATTATTAAAAAAAAATCAAGAAGTGATCTAATAGAAAGCAAGTCATGTTCATCATGTAGTTGTAAATTAGTATATTATATAATGAAATTTTTTATAAATTTTCTGAACTATATATATATATATATATATATATATATATATATATATATATATATATATATATAAAATTCAAACCCTAACTACAAATATTACAAAAGTAATTTTAAATCATTTTGCTTTTAATTTATTTATTTATTTTTCATGGAAATATAGCCACAGCCCGCAAATCTGCATCATGGACCTGTTGTAGGTCACTTCAAGAATTTGGCCCAATAGGCTACTGGAACCTCATAAATACTTATTAAATTAGGGGTTTTCTGGAGCACCTTGGCAGATATCAAAAACCGATCGATAGGAATTGCGAACACGAAGGGTTTTGAGGCACAAGTTTAAGGTTAGTAATCTTTATTAAGCATCAAATTACTGCGTAATTGGTCAATATGTAGGACTTATGATCACTCTCACAGTGTAGTTTGACACGTCACAAACACTTGAACTGTTTAGTGATCAGTTAGGGTTTGTGGGTGTTTTGTATGCTCTTCTAGGTTCTTACCCCTTCGAATTTTTTTATATTTGTGTTTATTGATGCACATTTGTATATATCATCGTGTGCACCTGTTTATTGATTGGTAGAATGCTTATGTTATTTTTTTCATTTAAATTTAATGAGATTTTGTTAGTTTGGATGTAAGAGAGTGTCGTCAGTGAGGTTTGAGGTTTGAACTGTGGAAATTGACTCCTAGATTAAAGCCCTAATTATGGCGAATTTAAGGTTCTAATGAAAGTCTGATGGATAAAGAGGCTTATACTGGTTGAAGAATCAGAAATTGAGTAAAATTTTGGTGTTCTTTTTTTTTTTTGCTTGGTATAAACATTTATTATGTATGTGTATGTGTCTGTATGCGTTTTAGAAAAATGTGATAAAGACTTAGTACACTCTGTGTATGTGTTTCAGGTCTTTCATAAAAGGTTAGGCATATGGTTAAAAATGGAAAGGTAGCAAAGTATGGGTGGAAAAGAGAGCTTATTGTTATATAGGTTATTAACTTCAAATATGTGATCAAGCCTTAATACCACATTTATAAACACACTCCTTATTTGCATCGGAATGCATCATGCTTTTTAAAACCAAGTTTCTAACTTACATTTACATCTTAATCCTTTACATGACATCTTATGTATAGTCATACATACATATTATGCCAGATAGTATATCCCAACATATCTACTCATCATAATGACCTATTTCATACTTTAACATAACATCCTATCTGACCTTGCTTTACATAGATATGTAGGCATATCATGTGTACACATACATGTATATAATATGTAGGCATATCATGTATACACATACATGTTCTATTACATATGCTAAAAAACTTGCATACTGTATAACATGTGTTTACATACATATGTCATTTATACTCAATCTTTAACTTTACATGCCATTTATATTATCATAGAAACCTTGTGCATGTTTGTCCTTCACATTAGCCTTTTTGGCATAACATGAACATTACTTAATGCTTTAATGTTAATGTTACAACATATATAAACATGTTCAATCTTTAGTCTTTAGACTTTCAACCAAATGTTCATTTCCTTGACTAATTCATACACATACATGATCATAAATTTGACCAAATTTTCATAAATTCAAACACTTGATTCTTAACAATTTAACTCCATTCTCAGATATAATGAATCTCTTGTTCGTTTTCATATGAAAAATCTAATATGCATCTTCATTTGATGATCACCGCAATTACAAGAACACTGAACATCAATTTTAAGAGAAAAATGATATTAAATACCTCTTATTTGTAGTGGAAATCTCTTCAAATGTTAGAATTGTTGGATATCAGCTTTAGTCACTAAAAGATTGCCAATTACTTACCATCATAGCAGCTTTGGTTGTATGTATATGATGTATAACTTAAAACATGTATAATTAATTTTTTATTGATTACTTTTTTCTATATATTTCTTCAGCCTCATTGTCATAAAACTAGAGTAAATATCTTAGCACTAGTGGCATTTTGTGAGGAAAAAAACAGAGAAGCAAACTTTGAAAATCTTAACCTTTTGTAACAACAAATCAAGAGAGGGATTATAATAGAGGAACTAATTCAACTTGATGACTGACAGAAGTTCTGGAAAAATTGGTATGGCTTTCAATTTATTCTTTTCAAAAGAGAATTTATTTAGAAAAATTGGCTTCTTTTATTAACATCTGTTTTCTAAGTAATTAGGGGGTGTTTGTATAAGATTATTTTTTTGGGCTTAAGCTTATGAGCTTAAGAGCTTATAAGATAAAAAAGTGTTTGGACAAGCTAAAAAGCCTGAAAAATAAGCAAAAAACAAACACCCCCTTAGTCTGGTTTATACCCCAGTTTATAAAACTTTGTAGAAATATATTTCTTTTCTCTAGGCCTCATTTGCTTCCATCACTCACTCTTCCTTCTTACATAGGACAAATTACAGCAAATAGCAACGTACTTTGCCCTCTTTTACCCATAATAGCAACCAACTTACATATTTTTACCAATATAGGTAATATGTATCTTGAAAGCTATAAAGAATAAGCTGGCTTATATTTCAACTTATTGCAGTGTAGTGTTTGGTGGGACCACTAAAGTAACTTATAAGCTAGCTTAAAACAAGGTAATTGAGATAACCTAATGGGTCTTTTTACACAAGTTTTCCAAATATACCCCTGTTATTATTGTTTTTGCGACAATTGGCTTTATGAGTTTTGGATTTCAGGCTGGAAAAATGGTGTTGTGGGCGGAGTTGGTCTGCATAAGAAAGTAAAAAGATTAAAAAAGATATAAGTTATAACAATCAATTAAATTTTAAAACTAAATGATATTGCCAACATGACAATCATGGGGCAGCTGAGCCAATAATAACATGCCACATCAGCATTTCCGGACATAGAAACTAGGTGTTTATCGATATTATATAGGTGTATCTACAGTTTGCATCCAATTGGCATAAGTTTTAAGCATCTGATTCATAGAAAGCAAGTGATTTACACAATTAAAATGAATAAAATAATGAACTGTGACATAACACAATCAACAGAAAGCATTTGCAAGACAGGAAAGAAGGAAGAAATGCAATCTGTCACAAGCACATCAATGAAAAAAAAAATTTCTATTAGATTGATTGAGGTCTATGGAAAATAAACATTTTTAACATGGTTAATCACTCCAAGTTCATAGCTCAACGTTGGGTTCATCTGATTTCTGATCTACATGTATTGAATTTAATATGGGTTCATAAAGAAGAGCAACAATTACATGGAAATAGATGCCAACTAAATTCTAACCATATGATATACATGGTTTTGAATCAGATCACCAGATTTATTGCTAACCATTTCATAAAAATGAAAATTGTGTCAATCTCATCAATATGCTTAGTGAAACAAACGGATCCATTGCATAAAATATGAAAATTTCATTAACTTGTCATAAAGCAAAAGCCAAAGAATACAATGGAAGGAAAATGAGTAATTATCAGCTCAATTAGTTGTTTGGTATGATTCTTTGTTTTGTAAAGATGAGTAAATTGCACAATTGGTCCCTATGGTATTCCAAAAAGTGCAGTTTGAGTCTATTATGAAATCTGAAAAATGCCGTTTGATTTCTGTTTTTTAAGACGCCAGTATCTACATTAAAATTTCAATTTTAGACTGATCATGTGAAGGAAAAAAATGGATTCAAACAACATTTTTTGGGATACCATATAGACCAATTTTGCAATTTACTCTTAAAAGATTTTAAATTACAAATGACAAAGAAATGAAAAATAACAGAAGGGAGAATGTTTACATCTCCTAGTCACTTAGCTGAAAAGGACTTTACATCTCCTAGTCACTTCAATCAAGGAAAAAACCCAAAATGCTAAAAATGTACTAATTTTAAAATTTTACTCAATCAGTTTGTCTGTGGATTCAAGCTCAAGCACTAAGGTCTATGGAAAACTTATCTTAAGAAAGAGTTTAAAATTAATGAAATGGAAATGTCTTTAAATAGCAACCAAGTTTGACTTGTTACCTGTTGGAGTGGTGATATGGACATGGGAATATATTTGGATTTCAATCAATTAAATAGTAAAATTTGTCGTATTTAATAAAATTAATAATTTTTTATTATATTTGTCATCATCTAAAAATAATAGGAAAACGGGTAGGAAGATATTTAATTTATCTTTGTTTTAATGGTTTGAAAATGGTTAACCATTTATTAAAGGCTTTACACCATTCATTTCTCGTGTTTGTGTCAAAACGCACGTTTAGTCCCTATTTTCAAAAATTAATTCGAACTGTTTCTCGTTTGTTTAAAACTTGCACATTTCATCCCTCTTAACGTGAAAAGACTATTTTACCCTTGGTAATTTCTTTTTTAATTTTCTTTTAATCTTTTATCATTTTTAAATTATAAAAAAAAGTAAAAAGAAAATATATCCACCACCCACCCTCCCCATTCCTTTTCCTAGTGTCCTTTCCTCTCAATAATCAATAGAAAGCTCCACATCTCCGATCAAAACTCTCAAGCAAATCATCGTCGACTTTTCCACCTCCACTTCATTTTGTTTCCAAACTTGTCTCATTACCTCCGATTCTCCACCATGTACAAACTCTTGAAACCACCAATCAAACTCCAACTTTGGTGGCCACACATGACAAAAGAAGAGATTATCGATGGTGGTGACGGTAATGCTCGATCTGAAACCCTCAAAGTGAAATCCGTCATGAAACCCCCAAAGTTCTCGATCTAAAACCACACATTTCCTTGTATATGAGTCTGTAACCCTAGGTGGTGGTTTTGAAACCCTAGGCGACGACAAGACTCTTCGTCTCCATCTCCGATGGCATCGTACAGGTGATTATGCACATGTGAACAAGGAGATCATCGATCTCGAAACCCTGGCTGATGGTGTTCGTGAAACCCTAAGCGACGATTTGAAACCATGGCCTGTTTTCTTGGTCGTTGAAGGTGGTCGACGGGACAAGAGTTGTGCTCAGTGGTTGAAGGTGGCTCACGGTGAAGATGATGACCGGTGGAGGAGATTACAAGATGGTGATTGGAGAAGAAGGGGTATCCGATCGGAAAATGAGGAGGAAAGAGAGACTATGGTGGCGGGCAGTTCTCCGGCGATGGTGGTTCGCCGCCGGTGGTTGAAAGGCAACGGTGGTGTTTGTGATTTTTTTGTGAGGGTGAGGTTGGTTGTTCATAATGAGAGACTAATGAATAAGGGGATGGACCTTTTTTTCTAAATATAATTATTAACAATAAATAAATCAAAAATAATTGGAAAAAAAAAAAAAAAAAAAGGGACTAATGAATAGGGGGATGGTCATTTCTGAACTAAATTCGCAATAAAACCACATATCATGGACGAAGCGTGTAAGTTTTAAACAAACGAGGGACGGTCCGAGTTAATTTTTGAAAATAGAGACTAAATGTGCATTTTGGCACCTACACGAATCAACTAACCTATTGGTCATTTGTGGACTTTACTGTGAATTTCCACCCAATTGAGTAATTCCCATGTGAAAAACATTGCAAAATGCAAGTTAAAAGAGAAAGAAATGTGGACTTTTTAATAAAATTAGTAAAACTTGATTACTATTTAATAAAACTAGTAAAACTTGATTACGAAATGTGGACTTTTTAAATTATATATCGCTGGACACTCCTCCTAACTAAATGCACTATTGACTTAATAGAGAAAGAAAATCAGGGATCATATTCTCAAATACTTTTTCAACCGCTTATCCATAGACAACATTCAGAAAAAAGAGAAACAGAGCCTAAGACATAAATTCATTGAAAATCAAAACTCACGTAATCTGTAATCACCTAGTTTGACGGGAACCGGTTATCTTACATGATATGAATAATAAAATAATCATCCTGCTTTAGCCACATTGCACATAAAACCTTATTTTCTACTTATATTTATACTTTCTTGAATTGATCAAGTTTCATTCTCTATTTCAGTTTGTGGGTGAAATTAGAAATCAATATCTTAGGGTTATGTTGAAAGATAATTGGGAAGAGAAACATGGTACTCATGTGGGCAATATGAATATGATGCTTCAATCTCTTGAAGGATTTTCTGATAATCAACCATCTTCTATAATAGAAGCAGTGAGCTTCAAGCATCACCAGAATCATAATGTATCAGAAACTCGACCAGTAGTAGATAATGGTTTTAGCCAAAGTGAAGCTCATAAATCTTTGCCCCCCATGGAAGCTTGTAGAACAAATGCAGAAAAATCTATCGTTGGTTCTACTTCTAATATGCAAGAATTGATAAAGTTTCTATCTACCAATTATGGACCCTTGAAAACGCCTCTTGAGATGGGAACTCCTGAATATTTGAGACTTGTTGAGATCTTGCAACAGAGTGATTCTTATTCAAAAGTTGGAGGACTTGATAATAATAATGCTACAAGTGTAGTAGGGATGTCAGAGCAAAATGAAATACTAAGCATAAATAATGATGATGAAGAGAAAGTAGTTGGGTATGACAAGAAAAATGATTCAAAGAAGCTGTGGGAGGGATCTCTTCAACTAAGTTCTTCTGTCACTTTATCCGCAGCTGCCTTCTTTAGAAGGTCTTTTTTATGTTTTACCTTTAACCTATCCATGTGCAAACTACAAATATTAGTTCAAATGGGATTTAACTTTTAACCATATTTCAACCTTTTCCTTGAATCTAAGATCTTGTAAACATCAAGAAATGATTGCATATGGAGTTTGTGAAGATATTATTTAGTGTTAGGGTTTGATCGTATCTTATGTGTGATTGTTTGTTTGTATTATGTAGTGGTGAGAAATTGGTTTGTGACAAGTGGCCTGAATCCATACAAGTGAAAGGAAAAGTAAGATTAGAGGCTTTTGAGAAATATGTTAAAGATCTTCCTCGCTCACGCAACCGTGGATTAATGGTAACATGTCATCTTGCTTTCATCTTATGATCATTAGAACAACACATATATGTGAGTGAAACAATATTCCATAATGTATTTATTACTTCTCTGTTAAAGTTTTGATATAATGATGTGTAGGTTATCTCAGTATGCTGGAAGGAAGGATCTTCCAACACTGGGCTAACAGGCATGAAAGAGGTAAGTTTCACTTTCATATATATGGGACCACAAATTTCTCCCAAAATAACCATATTCATCACTTGTTATATTTTTTAGGTAGCGAAAGGATACAAGAAAAGTTCAAGGGTTGGATTTGCACAAGTTTTATCAGGAATAGATCTTTACATATGTCCACGCAGCGACCCCATCATCACAATTTTAGCCAAATACGGTTTCTTCAAAGGCATGTCGGTCCTTGATGACAAGCAACAGGATTACATGATCGGTTGTGTTGTATGGCGTAAAAACCGTCCTCTAAATCCTGTAAATACCAAAAATACCCCTGATTCAAATCCTTCAATCCAACCTCCAAATTCCTCACCCTCTTTACCTGAAGAACCTCCTCAGACTTCCAACACTGAAACTGCTACTGATGTTGACCATAATTCTACTCCTGATACTTGTAATTTGGTTGTTCAAAAAAGGGCTTTTCAGGATGATGTTGATGATCTTCCTGAGTTTGACTTTGGTGCCAGATTGGCGGCAGTGGTCAACTGTCAAAACATGGATAATTCTGTAGAGCAGTTGTCCAAAAAGACTAAACTTTTTGATGATAACGATGATGACATGCCTGAATGGTGCCCGCCCATGCCGCCATCCAACTTCCACAATTTACCATTATGCCCTCCACGACCGCCACCCGTTCCTGTCCTGCCACCGCCACGACCTGACACCCGTCCGTCATTCTCTTATCAACCGTTTCGACCTTCCATTACTTCTCCACCGCCAACTTTCATGGCAACTCCACTTCCACCACCGCCACCACTGCCGCTGCCGCTGCCGCTGCCACCACCACCACCAGGCAGGTTCAATTCTAATCAAGGTATGTGGCATAGGCCGGGTTTGTCCACTGGTAATCCGTTGTTTAACAGAAGACCTCCACAGCATTGAAATGAAGAAGGATCTGTAATGACAGGGTTGGTAGGAAGTTTGTACATAAGTTGTTTTTTTTTTTTTAATGAAACAGGTAGAAGGTGTTTTGCATGGGTTTCATGTTGTAGTCTATGTTCATCTTTTTGAATACCTGGAAACACATGTTAAATCTTTTCTTTGTTTTTTGTTCAAAAAATCGCCTTAAATAGCAACTAACTGTGTTTTATTGTTTTTATTTTTTAACAAAATAGTTACTTTTACCCACAATACCAACCAACTTGTAAATTCATGATGTGGCACCCGTTAATGTCCACATCATCCATGTCTTAGAAAAAATGACATGGAATTTTCTTAATTTAAAAAAAAAAAAAAAGATACTAAATTTTGTTTTTATCTTAACAGAACATAGAACATGAAATAACTAGCTAGTCTGAACCACAAAATGGCCTTATTCAGAAAATTACTAAATTTGCTTATAAGTTATAATGAGCTTTTATGATGTAGAGAACGAAAGATCACGACTTGTGTGTATGTATAGGATATATAATTCAATTTGACAATAACGTGTTCTGTTTGTAAACAATAGTATGTGATGATAACTCATCCACAAGCATAAGCTTCATATGGCATCTAAAATCTAAATGTAGTTATAACAAGATTACCCTCAATTATGGAGTAAGAGGATATAAGGCCGTTCATAAATTATACTCATGAATCACAATTCCCTCACCGAAAGGCAGAGTCATCTTAAGTACTCTATTATTCAAAGCTTTTTATACTTAAGATATTTTTGTTGTCAGTTTTTATTTAATATTATGGCACTTATATTGGAAAGAAAAACATTTTGCTCCACAAATTAAGTTTATTAAAATAAACATGTATAATACTTTGTTAGAAATATGCGGTATTTCGATTGCTTGGATTCATTGAAAGTCGTGATTGCATTATCAAGTTGAAGTATTTCGATGATACTCTCGAAATCTCAATTAGATAAATTTCAGTGATGTTTCAAAACAGAGAATGTAAGAAGTTATGATCTTGATGTATCAGATTAATGACCAAAATCGGGTATAACACCATTGTCTGAAAACTAAAATCGGGCATATTCATCAAGATTGCATTGGTCAACAAATTAATCTCATTACACTTAAATAATATTAGTCATACAAATCACCAACAAATTTAGTCTTCAAAAAAAAATATAAATGATTACAACACTCAATCCCAAACACAAATACAAAATAAAACAAAAGTGTAAATATAGAAGAGTAAAGATTAATGGAGAGATAAGTAAATTGATCACACGAATTCATAGTAGTTCACCTCAACTTAAGGCTAAATGATCCTTTTTTATACAACATGAAAAAGCACGATGATGAAAAGAATCGTGATTACTCACTACATGTGAAACACTACATTACCACCCACTATCTAATGCAATAATGCACAAACACACATAACAATAAAAAAAAAAATTACAACAACCTTCTACACTATGTATGTTAGTATTTTGCTCCTTACATTTATAATTAAATTTGACGAAAAAAATTAAGCTACAATCATCAATAATCTAAGAAGCGAAATATCAACATACATGTCCCAAATAATCACGTAACAATGTAATAAGTACAACTATTTGTTTTGTAATTTTAATCTTATTATGTATGTTTGGACAATAATGCACTAGATAGCGAGTGCCCAAATATTTTCCTGAATGTAATCAACAACAACGTTTTATTTACACACAAATACATTAACCTACCGAATTATCAGATTCCATAAAACCGATCAACATTTACAATGTAGATTTATGAACTCTACAAACAATTTCACCACATCCCTTTAGAAAAACATGTAATTCCCCAAAATGGAAAGAAACAATTCGGTAAAAGATTTAAGGAAGATAAGCTTCACTAGGATTAAATCATAAAAGTGTGTTCTAAAGATCAACATCCCCTACAGCTTGCCAATCACTTGACTCTTCACTTTCTGAATAATGCCTTGACTGATTTGTTTTTCTTTCATTAAGACGAACCCAATCACTTGTTTCACTAGCTGAAGAAACCCTGCTACTTTCTCTTTGTCTAATACCAGATAATCTACCAGAAAGATCATTATCTTCATCCTCTAGATCACTGAAAGAAACATCATCTTCATGGTGTTCACTCTTAGTACTCTTGTTGGCTTGTTCACTGCTATTTACCTCACTACCCTTTTCAGATAAACTTGTATTTCCTTTGGTATCCTCTGATAACTCCATGGATGTATTATTCTTGTTTCTCAGTTTCTGCAGAAGCACCTCGCGTATTTCCACAATCTATATGGAAAACAACACTTGAGTTATGTTTTTGTCTCATTGTTGTAATAATTAATATATGAAGTTATGATCTTACCTCTGGGGTTGATAGAAGCATATAATCATCCTCTTTCAATCTTGGAAGCAACAGAATGAAATAAATCATCCAAAAGTGTTGTTCGCTCATGTGATTGTGAATTTTATGCCTCAAAGTGGTCAAACTTGGTACTAATTGTTGTATGGCAGATGTGTGGTCTCTCTGAATGTCGGATAGATCAAAATCTGTTTATTGATCGAATTACATTAAATTTTCCATAGTATTAACTATTAACATGACTACACAAGATTAGAATAATCTTTAATCCTTTTTTGACATCTTAAATCAGCATCTAGCTATCTCAATTTAACTTAGGATCATAATACAAACATACAAATTTAATTTAATCCGATAAGATTTGACATTCATTAATTAGTTATTAGAACTTTTATATCAGTCAGCATCCACAATCAACATTCAACAAAATGCAAAATCAAAGAAAAGGGAGGTAAACCCAAAAAAGAACTCCATGCATTTTGGATACCCAATTATCTTGTTAGGTTTTCATAAACCAATTCATAATGATCATACCCAGTTATGAAATTGCCAAAAAGGGGGAAGATATCACACCTTGGTTTTGTAGAGATAAAGGGAAATCGATCCAACATTCAGGGCGAATAGAGATTTCTTGAACGAAATTGATAACATCATCGGTAACCCCAACAGGATCAATCTCTTCAAGATCATGATCATGATCATCCCCTTGATCAAACTGAAGTAAATTGGAAGCGAATTTAGAAATTTCACTCACTGCTTTATTGGATGAGAGCAGAGAGAGGCCTGTTTTGAAGCTACCACCAATTTCAGCAAGATCGTTCTTTATGCCTGTGTAAGAGGAAGTAGACGACGGTGAAGCCTCGCCAGAATCATCGGACTGCAGTGGCGGGGTTGAAGAAGAAGGTTGTTGTGGTGGTGGAGCAAGAAAGGAAGCAACGTTGTGAAGTTGACGGCCGATGGTTTGTGTGATGATGGAAAAGCCTGGTTTGGCGGTGGCGGTGGCGGTGGGGGACTGGGGAGGAGATTTTTCTTCGTCGGAGTTGAAGGGGTTGGGAAGAGAGAGAGAAAACCACGACGAGGACATAGTTTTGTGGTTAGGTTTCTTGGGATTTAGGAGAAAGATGAGAGGGACGCGGACGCCATTAAAGGAGGAGGTGTGAGTTTGGGGATGACGACAAAGACGATGATGGATGCTTTATCTGCGCGCCGTCAGCTTTGTATTATGTAATGTCTCCAGAAAAGGCTTGCAAATATTAAAATAAAGTAGTAAGTTAGTATCTTTACGGGATCGATACAGGATGTCAACGGGGCAAACGGGACGGGGAGTGCATCCCCCGCCCCCGCCCCCAAAGTTTCCCCGTTCCCCGCCCCCGAAATGTTCAGCCTTTCTATCCCGCCGCCGCCCCCGAATCCCCTTTATTACTCTCGCCCCCGCCCCGGTTCCCCCGCCCCCGATTGATTTTGAGCTACTTTTTTTAGGCTAAAAGAAGTTGTTATTTAGGCTAAAAGAATCTATTTTTTAGGTAACAAATAATTATTTATAGCAAAATTTTACATGTTAAAAATAAAAAAGTTATAGCATTTTAAAAAATTATACTAACAACTTAAAAACACGTTTTTTTGATGAATTTTGGAAGCTCAAAATCATGTTATTGTTTATTATATTATTATAATTAATATATGTAAATATATGTGTAATTTATTAACGGGGTCCCCATGGGGGTTTCGGGACGGGATTGCCTACCCCCGCCCCCGCCCCCGAAAATAAAACGGGGGTTAACATTGCCCCCGCCCCCGCCCCCAATTTTTTTTAAAAAAATCCCCCAAACGGGACGGGACCCCCACGGGAACGGGGTCTCACGGGACTTTTTGACATCCCTAGATCGATCTTACATACGAAAGTGTATCGAATAATGTTAAGCTGTTTACAATTATGATTTGTGGCTTCAAAAAAACCTAATAAACTTAATCTCTTAATCTTTTGTTTAAAAAAGTCCAACTAACTTATATTTGTGTTTAATTCTTATTAGGGTCAACCGGCTTATAACGTGTAATTAAATATCGAGAAAATAACTTGTAAGACCAACGAAGTTTCATCTGTTCAAAAAACTCAATAAACTTAATCTTTTGTCTAAAAAAACCAAACGAACTTACATTTTTGTTCAATTCTCATTAGAGGCAACTATATTCATTAGGTATACAATTAGTTGCAAATGATATGGCTAATATTTAATGACATGGAATAAACATATTAGAATTGCCCTTTATATATCGATTTAGGGCTTGAAGAAGAGAAAAACGAACGACGTCTGTGTTCGATCTCTTGTATTGGCGATATTCAAGATACTAAAGATAAACATGATCCTGATAGATAACATAGCTAACAATTGTATAGGATTTAAACTCTTGTTTATTAGCTTAGTTAGTTTTCACATATCTTGTACTCTGTTATATATACGCATGAATAATATTAATTAGATTCAAGGGATAACACTTCTGTTATGGTATCAGAGCGGGCACGACATTAACCGTGGCCAATATCTTAATTTTGTGGAAGTTGTTTAGTGCAAGTATTAGTTTTTCGAGGTGAGAATACATGGTCTCGGGATCCAAGAGACTTTTACTTACATAGTAGATAAGATGTTGTTCACTGTCAAGATCCTTGGCCAAAACAATACTTACATTATTCGAAGATACTAAAAGATATAGGAGGAGTGGTTCCCTATTCGAAGATCCTTGGACAAGACTCGCTTCTATTCCCCTCTTGGTAACCATGTAACCAAGGAATTTTCCTGCCTTCATTCCCAAGTGACATTTGGACAGGTTCAACTTCATGTTGTATTCATCTAATATATTAAAGGCTTCTTCAAGATCCCCGAGGTGATCATCAGCTTTGACCACCATGTCATAAATGTAGACATCCATGGTGTCCCCCGGTTTGTCTTTGAACATTCGATTTACCAATCTTTGATAAGTTGCACCTGTATTTTTTTAGACCGAAGGGCATAACAATATAACAATATATACCTATGGGGGTTATAAAAGGCAGTATCTTCTTGATCAGATGGTTCCATTTGTATTTGTTGGAATCTAGTTGAGGCATCCATGAATGTTAGTAATTCACGGTCTGCTGTGACATCTATCATAGAGTCGATGCATGGCAAAGGGAAAGGATCCTTAGGGAAATCCTTATTAAGATCTATGTAGTCCACACTTACTCTCCATTTTTTGTTCTTCTTTTGTACCACCACTACGTTGGCTAACCATCTTAGAAACTTTACCTTTTTAATAATTCTTGTCTTAAGAAGTTTTTCAACTTCCTCTTGGATGATTTGGTTTCTCTTGGGTGCCAACTTCATTCTTTTTTGATTTATAGGCCTGAAAGAAGGATTTATATTGAGTCAGTGACTTATAATTTTTTTTTTTATCTATACCTGTCATATCTTCGTGTTTCCATGCGAAGGTCTTTTTTCTATATTTTAGGAACTTTATTAGGTGATGCTCGATTTCCTTTGGTATTGAAGATCCTACGAGTACTTTAGCATAAAGATCCTTAAGTTTTAATGGCACTTCTTTTAGATCTTGTTCTTCAGCTTCTATTACGTCTTGTGCCCTTTGCTTTCGTTGCTATGCTTTTCTTGGTATTGTGGAAGGCTTCATCGAGGTCTTGTAGCATTCTTTGGATTCTTATTGATCTACGATGATCTTCACTGTCCCCAAGGGGTAGGCATCTTGACGCATTAATGGTACGTCGATGGAACCGCTTCCATGTCATTGCAATTTATTATGAGAAATTCTATATGTACCCCCTAAAATGTTTTTTGTACCCCTTGTAAGTAGAATAATGTCTGTGTATCCCCCATAATTTGACAATTTATGTGAGTGAGAGAGTATGTATAACAACATCCTTTAATATCTATATAATATGATTTCTTTTGGATTTGTAATTCTATAAAAATTAAAGGTGATTTTTTATTTAAGAAAATGACCACAATAGCAATTTTTTCATCAAAATGAAAAATACAAAAATAACCATAATTTTCGCGACCACATGCAAATATGTAGATTTTTGTAGTTGTTTGCGTTTTATTTTATTTTATTTGTTTATTTATTTTCAAATTTCAAACCTAATAACTCTATAATACGAACTACATTTAAGTTGATTTGTTTTTACAACATGTTCTTTGTAACAAGAGCTTTCCACTAATATATTACACTCCAAATTTGAATATCAGAAAATCATAATTTTTAGCTCCAAAGTAGGTCAATCGATGAAAAATATGAAAAACAACTCAACTTTGATCCTTCATAAATTTCAAATACGAATTCCGTTTGAGCTGATTTCTTTGTAACAATGAATTTCTATAGACTTATTAAACTCTCAATTTGGATGTCGGAAAATCATACTTTTTTAGCTTTAAAGTAAGCTATTCGGTGAAAATTATGAAAAAAAAAAACTTCATAGCTTTTTCACACGAACTTCATAACAATCATCATACCATTTATGTTCTCCCAATCACAAAGGTGAAATTAAAAAATCTGAAGAAAAAAAAACTTTTTCCGAAGACCGTCTAGATTTTCGCAAATGGTTGGCTGGGAAAATAATGGTTATTTGGTCATTTTTCATTTTTGTCTTTATTTGGTGGTAAAAGTTTACAAAAATGGTTATTATGGTCATTTTTCTAATTAAAGAATTTATTTATGTTGGCTACAACAACCTTACATAATCTGATTTATCTATATAAAATGTATATTTTAATGATTTGCTATTAGCTGGAAATACATTATATCTTATGTGGATAAATTAACTTCTATTTATGAAATTGATTAATCCATATAAAATATATGTTTCTATTAAGTTATTAGCTATAAAAAATTGATTAATCTATATAAGATACAATACCTTTACAAATAAATAAAATATTAAATATATATTTGATGTTGATAAATCAAAATGAAAGAATTACTTCCCATAAGAATACGGTGTTTTCAAATTGATGTACGATTTTGATGTATTAGATGTCGGCAACCTTCAGTTCACATTTACATATCATCTAAAACTATGTATTTTTTGAAATACTTGACCTAAAGTAGAGAGAGTGAAACAAGAAAGAATGTTTTATCAAATTTAACAGCAAAGGACATTGTAAGCGGATAAAAAATATAAAGAAAAATAAAATATACACCTTTGGTTTTTTTTTTTTTTTTTTCTTCAAGAGGTCGATTAAATTAACCATTTTAAAAAAAAATCGATTAAATTAATCAACCATTTGTATAAAATGTAGCATTCATTTACGTCCTGACATAAAGGTTAGGCAGTTTATTAATGGTGGTGATTTTGATTGGCAGTTTATTAGTGGTCGTGATTTTAGAAGTTAAAAATGGTAGTAGGTGTCCAATTTAAATGATGGTAATCAATGTTTTTTGTGTTATTTTATTTTTATTAAAATTTTAAAAAAATATAGATGATTGGCATATTAAAAAGGGCTAATTACTTAAAAAGATAATTTATTTTTTTATTTGTACACATTTAATCGATTAGTTTTTTTTTCCATATTTTTCCATTGAACTTGTTTGAATTGTTCAAAAATAATCCTTATGACCTGCTATCCAAGATTTAACTGGTCTCCGACGCATTTGACAACTCCGGCGAGGCTCCAATCATCTTCTCCGGTGATTATAATTTTTCCGGCAATCGTTCTCGTAGAGAAAATGGGTAAGAAATAGAGTGTTGAAGAGGGAAACGAGAGAGATTGAAACAGTGAAACATTTTTGCTAGAAACCTACTATAACAGGTCATAAAGATAATTTTTGAACAGTTCAAACAAGTTTAATGGAAAAATATGGATAAAAAATTCAGTGACTAAATCAAATGTGTACAAATCAAAAAATAAGTTACCCTTTTAAGTCATCATCCTTATTTAAAAAACGACTAAACTATCACATAGTTGTAGTCCGATACATGTCCCACATACACCACCCAATCGTTATACATTTTATACAAGAATCTACAAAAGAAAAACAAATCTTTCTAGTTCCATACCATAATGTGAAATGTAAATCAGGTACATAATAAAAACCAGTATTCTTCAACCCTAAAAGATATCTATTTGATTCTACCTACTATATATGTGTGCTTACAGCTGTATAGTCTGTGTATACCAAGACATATATATCAATGACCTACACTCCCAACTCCTTTTTCTGTAAAAATAATAACTAATTCTAAATAAGCCCATTATATTGATCATAGGGTCGAACCGGGTTGTAGGGATACGGGTTCCCAAACGGGTTCGAACCGTGTTGTGGCATCATCATTTGTTGTTGTTGCTGAGCCATGGCTGCCATCTGTACATTGCGTGGTGCAGCCATCATGGTCGAACCATAAAACGGGTCCGGTCCAGTCTGTGGTGCCATCATGGAACCTTGTGGGCCCCACGGGTTGTAGCTTGCTGGGGTCTGGATCTGGTTGCTTCTTCTCACTGCATCATCGTACAGGCTGTCAAGTGTAAGTTTATCCAGCCCTCCACCCTAATTTTATCAAAACAGTGTATCAGAAAACATAAATTTAA